TTGCCATTGTCGTTGTTGTTGTTGTTGTTGTTGTTGTTGTTGTTGTTTTTATTGTTGTTGTTTTCGTTGCCATTGTCGTTGTTGTTGTTGTTGTTGTTGTTGTTGTTGTTGTTGTTGTTGTTGTTGTTCTTGTTTTTATTGTTGTTGTTGTTTTCGTTGCCATTGTCGTTGTTGTTGTTGTTGTTGTTGTTGTTGTTGTTGTTTTTATTGTTGTTGTTTTCGTTGCCATTGTCGTTGTTGTTGTTGTTGTTGTTAGTACATGTATCTCAAATAAATGAGAGAACTGAATTGTACTAGGTGTCTGAAAATAAGAAGAAGACCCATTTAACGGGGAATAACTCAGTCATCTTTAGACCAGTTTCTACAAAACTTCGAAACATGAAATTCAACCAGTACCATAATAATATTATGTTTGAAAAATATCGAGTTTTTTAAAATTCAACAAAAACTGAGTGAAACCTAAAACTTTAAAACTTCTTAAAATTCAACCATAATTCTGTTCTATTTCAAATAGTCACTATATGTGCATTGAAGAACGACTTTATACAACATTGATAGTGCCAAATAAACACATGGAGGTGATGGCTGTTTAAATCCCCAGGTGCAGAACTTTTTTTTCCCCTGTGCAAGGTTCAATGCGCCTCTCGAAACTGCAAATAACCGCGTGGCATGTTTCTGGGTCGATTCTTATGCCCCTGTAGCTGAACTCTCTCCAGGGGTAAAATTTTGCGTTTTACCCAATTTTGGTTTTTAAAAATTCTAAAACCTGATATTTCTCGAACCCTCTTACTGACTCTCTTCGAACTTGACCTCCGCCTCGTTGAATTATATTCGTTCAGTTTTGTTGTAATTTGTGCAGAGATGACCGAGTTATTGCCCTTTAAGTGGATCCTTTTTTTTTTTAAAAGACACCCCGTATGTTCACAGACACAAATGCATCCACACACACGCATAAGCGCGAACGCACGCACGCACGCACGCACGCACACATACACACACAATACAATCTCAGACTCACGTCAGCTTATCTTTGAAAACACTCATCGTATCCTGTTTGGAAATCGCATAGATCACAACCCCCCACCCAAAAAAACGGAAAAAACTCACGTGCGTTTGATCCTTTGAACATTCTGTTTGCTTTTCTGCTGGCAACACGCACCCTAAATAACTTAAGTTTTGGATGATCAGAAAAATGGGCCTTGGGAGGATCATACTTTTGAATAAAGAAAAAAGAGATGTGTTTGTAGGCGTGTGTGGTGAACCAGATCTTTTCAGTGTCAAATAAACCGGCGCATATTGTTAAGGCGTATATTTTCTTCTTCTTCTTCTCCTTCTTCTTCTTCTTCTTCTTCTTCTTCTCTGTTAAGCGTCGAGGGGAGATGCGGTTTTCTACGTTAGACTAGCTCTGCGGCTCTTTCGGTTGAAATATTTAATTTCTCAGGGTTTCCTTGACTCCCCCAATCCATCTTTTGCGTGGTCTACTTCTTCCTTTGTTTTCTAACCCTATCCGTACGTCTTGTTGTCATTTTGTACCCCCAGCGTTGTATTCTTCACAGTTTAGAATACTTCTAGTACGAAGATCTCTTTGAAACTTTCAGTATTTCTCAAAAAATCATTTTGACAGACGGATATGCAAAGCGTACGGATCGGATAAACGAGTAAATTTCCTCTTTGGAAAGTGGTGGCACAGAGTTCCCCACGTCGTATGGATACGATAGTAAAACACGGATAGGGTGAAGAACTTGGTGCTATAGGGTCTTGAGACTGGCTAGCCAGTAGCCAGGTGACATTTGTGACAGGTGGCCAACCCATTTTGTTCTCTGTTTTTTCTGCGAAATGTAGGAAGAACTCAATGCGAATAGTCGCTGTTACTTCTTCATATTTCTGCCTGTCTCTTCTTGAGAAGTTAAAGGGTTTCGTGGAGACATTTCATCTCGCACGCAGGGATTTTGTTTTCATGGGTTTTACTTAATCCCCCCGACTGGCACTGGTAGCCTAATGCTTGTATAAATATTAACGTAACAAGCTGTCTCTTTGTGTCTATGAAGATGTTTGGATGAGATAGGACAGGTGCGAGCTGGTAGGTGACGGTGTTGGCATTCTGAGTTCGCATTTTTATTTCTCTGTCTATGGACCCGTTTTAAGAAAAAAGTGCTACCGAGATATTTAAACTCCTTCACCTGTTTCAGTTGTTTACTATTGACATGGATGTTCAGGGGACTATGATTTCGGCTTACTTTCATAACTTCTGTTTTTGATGTGCTTATTTTTTGTCAAATTTCACACAACTTTTTTCCGTTGGGTAGTGTGATTTTGGAGGTTTTGTTGGTTTGGATGAATGAGACATTGGTCGTCTGTAAACAGAAGTTCATTTAAGCTTTCTGGGCTATGGTTTGCGTCTTGAGTTATTATGTCTGTATATCATAATAATATCACAATAAGAAAGGGAGATAAAAACTCACCCCTGTCGTTCTCCATATCTCACTTTGAACCAGTCTGTTTTGCCTTCTTTTGTTCTTACTGAGCTCCTGCTGTTGGTATATAAAGCTCTGACATTGTCTAACAGTTGCTCTCTGACGCCATACTTTTCAATTGTCTTCCACAGGTTGGCATAATTTACTCTGTTGAAAGCTTTCTACTGATGATGTTTGATTCCTCACTGTGCTCAAAGGTTTTATCGCGTTATAGCTGTCGTAAGGAAAATACAGAACCCGTGCTGTGCATCCTCTTCCCTTTCGAAATCCGAATTGAGCTTCGCTGAAGTTTTTCTCTTCGACAGGTCTTAGCTGTTATTCTAATATCTACATGTACGCCTTCCCTGCGTTGCTAAACAAAGAGATGCCTCTGTACGCGTTTGTTGTCGTTCTCTTTCCATTGGGGGAGGGGGGGGGGCCACACCCCCAAAGTTCCGATTCGGCTCAAAATTATGGAATTTGAGTTGTAGGCATTTTTAGCTTCCTCCGCCTTTCTTGCAACTATTTAATCGCATAAGAACCCCCAAAAGCCTTATTCCTTCCAAAACCGGGCATGTTTGTCACCACCATTTCCTCATCATGTCAGTATTTTATTTTTATTTATCGACCGTTTTCTCAAAACGTGATTGTTCTCTATACATTTTTGAATAACTCCACCATTATTCATCAAATCTTCATGAAATTTTCACAGAATGAAAAGAAGATGTAGACTTATACTAAAAATATGTCTGTTGAATTTTTGCACACAAAAATAGTCAATTTCCATGAGCAATAAGTAGTGAGGTGTTATTACGTAAGACATGTCAACAAAATCCAATATGGCCTCAGTATCTAAGGAAACGAAACTTTAAAAAAAAATTTCATTGCGGATTTTAAGACTCCTTACTATGCTTGTTATATGTGTGAACTTTGGTAAAATTTGGTTCCCTAATAGGCGAGAAAGCCTTCAGGTGTTGGACATCCTGTTTCACACTGACTTTCGATTGTTCAACGTGGATTGTTCCTGTAATCTTTGTCAGAAAAACTCAAAGGAATTTATCAAAGGGGTTCAAGTCAGAGGAATACATAGATCATTAATTACTTGTGAGCATTCGGCTTATGTCACTTATGAAGCGTTCGCCAAACCTTTCTTGCAACCACGCACGGGCTACTTTTTTTGGGGGGGGGGTTTTGGAAAGTGTTTTACGGCGCTCGCAACTGCATAAGGTTGTATGAGCGCGCGGGACACACCTAATATTTTCAGTTGGTAGGAAATTTT